AAGAAAAGAAGTCATCCTTATCCAATTATTTTCCCTCTTTTTAAGTCCCTCAGCTTTCAGAGTATTCACATTAGGACCTAAAACAATCTTTTCTCACAATCAAGTCCTTAACTTAATGCTAAAATTCCCGAAAATTTGGGATATTACAATAACTCTCACGAGTAAAACCTTCTGGTTGACTTTTATTATGAACTTAACATTTCAACTTACATAAAAACCTTTTAAAGATAAACATATGCATTAATCATATATTTACTTATCCCTAAGTAAACATTCACTTATTGCAGATTCAATTAAAAAGGACATTAAAAACACTTAGGATTAGTTTTAAAACTGTTTAGTTATAGATGCACCTCATGATATTAATCTATTTGTATGAACATTCAATAAGATTTTAATCAATTAAATCTACAAAAAAAAAAAAAAGGCTATTAATATCTACTAGGAAGATCAATCCATAAAAAAAAAAAAATAGTGAAATATAACAAGGAAAAACATAACCTATAGGCAACATGTAAATTGCATGCAAGCATTCCTAATATTAAAATAGCACACACATGAGCAATTATTAGACAAAAAATAGTGAGGACAAATTAGTAGAGAACAAAGGCTTAAAGGATCTTACAACAATAGCAACTTGGTAGAGAAGCACCTAAAACCAAACAAAGCATGTGAATTTACACCTTAGATGACAAATATAACTTAGATTATGCTCTTTTCTTTTCATCTATCTATATTAAAAACAACCTTAAAGAAGATATAACTGTGAAAGTAGATATTATTTTAGACATTTAATAGTAGACCCAACCAACATTCAAGTCATCTTTAGATTATGACAAAGTAAATTCTTCTTTTTGTCTCTAAATTTTTTCAATACAACAAAACTAAAATAATTAAACAGGAGAGATATACAGAAACTATAAATATCACAAATAGAAAACTTATATTCTCAATCAAATTCTAATATATATAAAGAAATTTTAGTTATTACTCTTCAAAGGAGAAAAGAAAGCCCTAACTATTGGAAATTATATACTTTTGCCATTTTTAGGTTCTTTTGTTTTCATTTCTAAAATATAACTAGTCAAATTAACAATTAAAAACCCAAATTAAAAAGAGAAATCAACAACTTATTAAATGTGAATTTTTAAAACTAACAATCAAAATTAATTTTTTTAATTTTAATTTAGTATTGTTAAATTTTTTTAATTTTAATTTAGTATTGTTAATTTTTTTTTAATTTTAATTTAGTATTGTTAAATTTTTTTAGCAACAAAAAAAAAAGATAATAACAATGTTATTAAAAAGTTTTAAGTAATTTAATTTTAGTATAAATGAGTCTCAAGTCATAAATCATAACTACACCAATAAGTGTAAATACATGTTTTTATTTTTCCTTCTATCCATGTTAGGCTCTAAAAATGATAAAACTATTTAAAATAAATAATGGTGCTTATATTTATAAATTATTTAAATTTTACAATTAATTTACCAAAACTTATAAGAAAATGTGATATTATAAGATTAAGGATCCTATTAAAGTGATTAAACCACCTGAAAGAAGTTAAAAGTAGGTATCAAATAGCAAAACTCTTTTGCATAGTAGTACAAAACCATGATTTACTAGTAATGAACTCGTTAAATTAGAATCTCATTAAATTGAGATAAACTCACAATAAAATCATAAAATTAGTTAAAATCACAATTTTATTGGCTTAATTCAAAAAATCATCTACTAACTTTCAGTTTAATTTCAGTTTAGTCTAGAAAGTTTGTTTCATTTCTAAATGATCTAAAAACTTTGAAAAATATTTTAAATTAGTCTACCGTACAAAGAGGATATTAGATTGCCGTTAGATTTGAAGAAAGAGCAGTCCTTTGAGTTTTAAAAAAGTGACACTTAAATCCTAATAAAATATGATGAATCAAAAAATAGTTTATAGAGATAGATTGTAATTCAGACAGAGAAATTCAGTAAGTTCAAAATAAGAAATTTTAAGAGTAAGTCTGTTTTATAGGACAGACTGTGTACAATCTGTCTTATAAAATTATTTAAATGTTCATACAAAAATAATATAAAAATAGAATTAAGGTTATTTAAATAATTTTACAGGGTGAACTGAAAGCAGTCTGCTCTATAAAACAATTTTCTGAAAAACACATTTAGCAAAATAAGAATAAAAACTATTTTTACTATGAATATAAATCTAAGGACCAAAAGATTAAAATAAACATAGTTAGAGTACTAAGGTTTAAGAAGATTTTTGTTAGGATTTCTGTTAACTTTAACGGTCTAGTTGAAATTGAAATAAATATGAAAGATAATAGACAGAATTGAAACAATTCAAATATAATAGATGAAATTGAAATTAAACTGAAAGTTAGTAAATGATTTTTTGCATTAAGCCCAATTTTATTAAATTAGACCTAAGTAAGTTACATACTACATTATGGATGTTTGGTAGAGGACTCAAGTTTAGCAATTATACAATTTATATTATTGGACAAATAAAAAATTTTGAATTATAAATATAAAATAGTATATAAATCTATACACATGAGTTCCAACTCCCATAAAAAATTTAAGTTTTAATTTCAAGAACATTATTTTTCAATGGATGTTTTTAAAAGCTAACCATTAGATTTAATGTTCTATTGATATAAATCATGCATATTAATTTTTAAGTTAATTTAACATGTATAATCATTTAATAAATAAAGTTTTATTTTTTAACATATATTTAAAGATCTTAAATTTCAAAAAAAAAAATCCATGAACTAATTAGATACATTCAATTAATCTGAAAATTGATATAAATTATCTCTATTAATAAAATACTAAATTTAACAATTAATTTTTGAAAATATTTAATGAAAAGTAGTGTTTTTAAAAAAGTTGAAACTTCAATTTTTTATTAAAAAAAGATTAATAAAGATATTTTTATATAATTTATAATAATCAACTATTACATTAATCGTATATTCATTACAACATGTAATTTGCTTATGGATATAATTATAGAGAGGTAATTAAGTACATATGAAAATAAGGAAAATTTTTGTTAAAACTACCTCTTGTTGTTGAGTAGGACAAAACTTAACCAAATATGGAAAATGGGTTTTGAAAAAATTCCCTTGACCCTTTTATTTCGGCCTAAGTTTTGGTTTCAGCCTCTAACTGCAGAGATTTTCCCTCCTAGGGATAAATGTCTCCTTGTCATTCTGTTTCTCTAAAAAAAAAAAAAAAGAAGAAAAGAAAAACATCTCCCTAAATTCAACATCTCTTCCTCTTTCTTCCTTCTCCATTTCATCCCTCTATCTCCCTTGCAAAAAACCATTAGCTATCATCAAAAAATTTCTAAGCAAAGGGGAAATTGTAATTGCCCTATTTTTTCTTATAATCCAATTTCCTGTTTGGTTGATGAGGAAATAAATTGATGCACATGAATCCAGTTTCATTAGAATGGCATATCATCATTCCTTAAGATCTCAATCCAGTTTCCTTTCTTCCAATTCAGAAGTTTTTATAGAGCGAGTAATAGAGGAGCCCCTTCCTGTCACAACCAAAACAGCCCAAAGCACTGTCCAATTAGTCTATCGTGCCAACATTGCCAGCATCTATCGAAACGTCACCATTCTATGGTGTAAAAATCTCATGAACTATTCTCTTAGTGTTTTGGTGAATAGCATCGATGGAGATCACCAATACACTTGTAAGATCGATCTCAAGCCCTGGCATTTTTGGAGCAAAAAAGGGTACAAGTCTTTTGATGTGGAGGGAACACAAGTTGATGTGTATTGGGATCTTCGATCGGCGAAGTTTAAAAATGGTACTGAGCCGACAACAGATTACTATGTTGCTGTAGTTGCCGATGATGAGGTGGTGTTATTGTTGGGAGATTACAAGAAAAAAGCATACAAAAGAACAAAATGTAGACCAACATTGGTTGACCCTGTCTTGTTTTACAAGAAAGAAAATGTATATGCCAAGAAAAGTTTCAGCACTAGAGCCAGATTCGACCAAAGAAGGAAAGAGCATGAAATCATTGTTGAGAGCTCAACAATAGGTCCAAAAGACCCTGAAATGTGGATAAGCATTGACGGAATAGTGTTGGTTCACATTAGGAATTTACAATGGAAGTTTAGGGGAAACCAAACCGTGATGGTTGATAAGCAGCCAGTGCAGGTTCTATGGGATGTGCATGATTGGCTATTTGGTAGCCTTGGGGTTGGCAACGGATTGTTCATCTTCAAACCAATGGCAACTGAATCTGAAAGTGATGTAGAAGGCAGTGGCCATGGAGGTGATAGTGACACCAGCACTGGTAGTAGATATTATTCTACAAAAAGCACCACCTCTATAGCAGCAGCTGATTTTTGCCTATTCCTCTATGCATGGAAAATTGAATAATTCTTGCATAAAATACCATACATGTAAATTACATTCATTATCTTTCAAATTATTTTATTAGTATAGCCTTATTTTTACTGGTTTAATATATATTATTTGTGATGATTATTCAAAAATATTAATGCCACATACTTTGATTAGATCAATGTTCAAATTCAACTTTGTGAATACAAATTTTGTGCATTAGAATTCTTTCTCATCATAATGCACAACAATGAGTCCAACATCAACACAAGTCAAGAACAAATCCTTCAATAACTGTAATTAAGGAATAAATAATTTTGCAACTCTCATATCTATTATAGAATTTTGTATTAAGATTAAAAGGATATGATGAGTAAAACATGTTTGGATATTATCACTTTTAAGATATATCAATAGGTGTCAAACCACTTATGATAAAACAACACATTACCATTAGTTAAATTTTTCACAAAAAGCAATGTCATTGCTTCTTATAATTATACATAAGTGGATCTTAGATGAATGAGAATCTTGCAATAAGTGTAGTGTAAGACCAATTACATGAATGACCAAAATACAACAACTAAAGCCAAAGCGCCATTTTCACCTTTCATAACATCTTAACACAAAGGATGTAAAAGTCAAGAAGAGAAGCTTTAGCCTAGCATATCCTCCAAGGAAAAAAGACATAGCATAGAAAGATAATATAACCTAAAAGGAACATTGCTAATGGAAAACTAGAAGCTATCTAGTAAATCCCTTACTCCTTTTAAAACCATAAACATTGAATAAGAAAACCATATCAACCACCAATGTTAACACTTTAGACAATAAGGAAATCATGGCTATTTAGAATATAGTGATAAAATAGATCATACCATATTTCTAATAAAAGAAAAGTATAAAATTAATATTTTCTAAAAATTAGAAACTCGAAAAAGAGAGACATAACTCCATCTTTATCCTCTCTAAAAACCAAGAATATAAAATCTATTTTGATTGTATGTCTCTATGTGCATCAAACTTGAAGCTACGAACATAAATACATACATATTCTACTTCACAAACTAAATTGATTCTTATGGATATATTGCAAAATACCAATAAGGATGAAAAAGAAAAGAAAGAATTATATTCATCATTAACCAGACTCCTAGAAATTTTATATTGAACTTAGGACATGCTAGTGATGATGATTTGCATAATAAATCCAAAATCCATTATCCTCCTTGCATTGCTATTAGAAATTTTAGAATAAGAAAAAAAAAGTTCGTAATGAAATAGGGCAAATATTAGTTTGCAGGAGAATGAAGCATTATAATAATAATAAAAAAAAACATTGTACTTTGCTTGAAAATGTTTTCCATAAAATCATTTGTTAATAGTACAATTCATATCCAAAGTTCAAAACATAACCTTCACCACATCAAAGAAGGAAACTAGAATAAAATGTGAATTGCTTCAGTGATAAATATTCAAAATTTACAAACTCTTATCCACCTAAAAAGAACAACCACCATCCACGATATTAAAATAGAACAATATCTCATCCAACGATCATCTCACCCTGCTTTGCAACATATATATTTTTAGAGATGCCGAGTTTAATTCGGAAGATCTATTAATTTCTTAACAACACACATGTTTTTTAGTAATCTTTTCCAATTTTATTTTCATTGTTTTTCCTACACTAGTAAAAATTCAATTAATCATCCAAGAAGATACAATTATGTTAAAATAAGAAAACTTGAATTAAAACACAACTTTAAACTTCTGTTAACTTTTGCCTATAAGAAGGATCTATCAGTTGAAACCCATCCAAAACACTCAAAGACCACTATAGTTATAATTAGGAATGTTAAATCCATCATATACTTGTATTTTGATCTACCATTATTGTATAGAAACCAAGGCCCTTCTAATTTTGAACATGATTTTAGTAAGTTAAAATGGTTGAATCTTTTTGGCAAATAATTTTTGGCAAATAAATTAAAAGCAAATAAAGATCATCCAAGCCTAAAGTCCTCACACCAAAAATTTTCCACTCAAACCAACTCTAACATGTAAGCCAATGCAACAAAAAGACAAATTAAAGCCATTAAGCAAATAATAACTCTTGATCTAAGCTGTTCCTACCCAAATATAGTCAAGACCCTCTTCAATCCATAATAACTCCACAATTGATCGAAGAACAAAAGCATATGCAGCAAGCATACATACATGCTGAAGGTGCTACTAATTATATTGGTGATGGAATGGTAGAAAGCCTGATTATCAAAATTGAGAGCAAAGAGATCAAAATCTTAAGATGTGGCGTATGCATTCCAATCAATGACTAGAGACGCTGAGTTATGATTGGCACTACTGTTGAGCATGTCAAGGAACCACGATTGTGTTTTATACTTTTTTTCATTTTTGATTCAAGGTTAAGAGTTAGATTTAATTAAGGCAATCTTAAGTTGTGATTTTACGCCAGCATCTGACTTTGTTACTCCCTCATTGACAGTGAAACTCTATGGAGTGTTGTGTTTTCCTTAATAAATATTTTAGGTTAAATACCAATTTTGATCCCTTAGCTTTAGGGTTTTGTATAATTTTTGTCCCTCAATTTCTTTTTGCAATTTTTTAATCTCTCATTAAAAGACTAAAAATGTGCATATTTGAATATACTTAACGAACTAATTGATGAAAGGATTAAAAAAATCCATTTTTATAGTTGAAAGACCAAAAAAATGTATAAAAAAGTTGAAAGATAAAAACTATGCAAAACTCTGAAGTTAAGGGAGCAAAATTGACATTTAACCATCATTTTAAAATCTCAAAGTTCAAAAGAAATTTTTAAAAATACTTTTCTTTAACAAAAGTGTTTGATAATAGGATCTTTAAAAAATTAATAGAAACAATGTCACAAAACTATATTATTTCAATAAATTCTTATTAAAAAATTAAAATAATCTAGTTTTAATTAAAAATGAGTTTATTTTTGTCCCTTTTAATGGCATTTTAATAAAATAATGTAATTTTAAAGTGTTATTCTTCTAATTTTTATTAGATCTGACTGATAAATACTATTCTTTTCTTTCTTTAAAAATAAATTTTATTGACCATCATGCAAGTCATGGCATTTATGTAAAAAACATCTCACATATAAGGAATCATATATAGCACATATATTTAAGCTCAAATGCCAAAAAAAACAAAAAAAGATAAATGGAGAAAAAAAAAAGAATAGATAAATTTTAACATACGTTTTTTTTAAAAAAAAAAAATAAGCCATAAAAACCAGACAATATTTTTTAAAAGTATATTTAACTTGGGAGGAAGGGAGGAGGAGAGAAATGAATTTTGAAGGCTAAAAAAATAGTTAATGGTTTTTTATTATTAAAAATTTAATATGATATGTGCCAGTTTCACACTATTTATGAATAAAAAAGTTAAAATTAGAATAAAGGACTATTTGGTAGAGCTTAGAAGTAAGTTTTTTTAAGATAAATTCTTTTTTTATAAAATTTAAAAATTAAGTTTTAAAGTAGTTTTTAAATAAATTTTAAAAAAATTACACATCATAACATTTTCAAGTTCTGTTTAAAAAAGTTACACATTATAACTTTCAAACTTTGTTTAAAAAGTTATACATCATAACTTTTTCAAATTTGGTTTAGAAGCCATTATACAAACTAATTTTTTGAAACTTCTTTTAACAAATTTTACCAAATTTGTGAGACAAAAAATTTTTTAAAAATATGCTTTTAATTTTTGTTGCTAAATATCCTCTAAACAATTCTCTAAAAAGATCTATTATTTTAGACACTATTTTCTTATAATGTTAATGACTTGGTCATATCATTTTTGTTGATTGGATTTTGGGAAAGAGAAGTTCTTAATGGCTTGGAATAAACCTGAAAATAGATGTACTAGATTTCACCAAAAATAAAAAAATATAGCTATACTAAACTGAGTGTACGTTGATGATTCATTGACTCGTGGAATCAAGCTCCATCCAAAGCAAACGTAGAAGGACTAGTTAGAGATGAATGGGATACCAGGTTAAGGGATTCAAATTCTTCCTTTGTGATATTGCAGCATCGAGTTTGATCATAAACTCTAGGGTTGAATCTAATCATCTTCATCATAATTTTATTAAAGGATCGCAGAGCTATAAATGAAATCTTGGTTTCCAAGGGAATTTTGTTTTACATTCACATGGAACACTTCATAGCCCAAAAGGGCAAAATAAGAGATTAAAATTTATGACATACTCCCAGATGGAGCTGTCCCAATAAAAAAAGGGAAATTAGAAATCTTTTTTTTTTTTTAGATTCGAACTAGTAAATAAAAAATATTTCATCCACGTATAAAAATGTATGTCTTTCATTAGGCCAAAATGTGCTTATTCCCATGTGGTTTGGGTTGGTGCATTTAACCCTCAAATCACAAAAAATTTACACTTGACTTCATTTGGTTTAAGAATATATACTTTTAGTTCTATAAATTATAAAAACATACTTTTGACTTATTGTGGTTTGAAAAATGTAAAATTGACTCTTAAATTTTTTTTTTTTTTTTATGGAACCACTAAATATTTTTGAGATTTCATCTTCATTATTAATAAATATAGGGACAACCATGCATTCTTCAAATCATAAGAGTGCAAAAGATGATCGATTTGGAAGCTGGGCACATTTTCACCCCAATACATGGATCAACAATGGAAGGACAAGAAGGTGGGGTCAAGATTGACCTTTCAAGCCCACGTGTACCCCCTTTTTTTTTTTCCGGCCCATCCCAAATAAGGGTAAAAAAAAAAAAAAACGTTTCTAAAGAAATTGAGCGTGGGAATTTCCGATTCTTCTTTCTGATATCCGCTATGGAGGTTGAAAGACCCTTTGCATCACTCACATTGCAGAACAGCGAAAGCCAAAGCCAACGGCCATTGAAGATGAAGTTAGCGCCAAAGGTCGTCTTCCTCTTTCGAGACTCCGAAGGCTTCGCGTCCTCCATTGCAGACGCTCTCCACCCTAGCCCTAGCTCTTCGGCTCAAAGAGTGTAAGCAACTTCTCTGCTTCTCTCTCCCTCCCTCAACTTAGCCTAGATTTTCTAATTCTTGTTAATTTTCGTTTTCACAGTGAGCAGCCATTAGAGCTTCCTTTGGATCGATATGGAGTCAGAGATCAGATGGCTCGTGGGCTTATTGTCAACTTCATCGTCAATGGAATTCATCAGGTTCCTTTACCTTATCTCCTTGTTTCTTCTTTTGTTTTAGGATTTCGCAGTTTAATTTGCCAATTCTTTCTGTGATTCCTTTTTTTCATTCATGTGAATTAAGCACCCAATTTTTGTTCAGTTTGTTTATATATTAAATTAAATGGGTATTTAACGACATCATAGTCTCTATTTGATGCCTTACTGCATAATTGATGGCCATATTATTAAGGAAATGAAATTCATCATTTCTTTATTGAGAGAAATCTCACTTTCGATAAGATGGGATACTGCACTTTTAGAGAGAGATTGCTACTTAGCAGATGTTGGATGTAATTATATTTTTTAGGTCATTTTTATGCTTTTTCTCTAATGGATAACTTAAATTCAGAGGATTTTAGTGCTATCCCTTTGCTGTTTGGTGTACATAATCTTTGAAATATGTAATGTAATGGAAATTACTTTTCCCGGGTGATTACCTGTTAAATGGAGATTGTTGAACATGTGTTTCTGTAACCTGTAAATGTTAAATTTCATTAATTTTTCAATGGCTCATGTTGTGTGTGATCTACCAAGAAGATGTTCTGTGTAAGATTGTCATTTATCGTAAAAGCCACCATTAGCATTTTTCTTTTCTCTTTGCCTGTGTCAAATACATCTGAAATGTCATGTTGCTGTTTGTATAATCTTGGTGATGAAATGATAGTGATGCTGAAGGAGGGATTGGTGTTTCTTCTGTTCTTGGTTACAAATCTGAAATATTTACGTTATGGTTTCTTTCTTAAATAGAATATCTTGATTTTGACAATAAGAGAAATACTTTCTGAAATGGCCATGTTTTCCCTATAACATTATTATTTAAATGAAGATTTCTTTAAAGATGAGGAAACTATAAATATATGGAGTTTCATCTTTTTGTTTGTTTAACCTTGTCAGGTCTCAATGGTCCTTCTAGACAATTATGAACCACCGATTTTGGCATGTGCTGTGAATGAAGTTCTTTCTCAAATTTTAGAGGCATCATCTAGCATGCTCATGATCATAGCTCCTTTTCTTGTGCCATCTTCCAAGCTTAAGTTGGAAAGCAGATCATTGACGAGAAATGGTAGCAAGGTTCCTCTCTACAGTGTTCAAGTAGGTTCAGAAACAGACACAAGCAGAGCAGTAGCTGCCCAAACCGATAAGGCACCTTTGTCATTGCAAATCCATTATGAGCCCTTAGCTTGCTTTCTTCAGCTGGTCAATGTCTTGAAGTTGCCTACTTCTATTCTCATTGGACAAAGAAGCCAAAGTTTTTCTGATAAAGCTTTTAGTAAAGAACTGGAGGTATTCATTCTTCCCTAGCTTCTTTGGTGATGTAGTTACGATTATAAAGTGGAAAGGTTACCTGCTTATTAAAAAAAAAAAAATTGAGGAAAGGTTACCATTAAAGTGATAAAGCAAATTCACTTTATGATTGTGTGAAAACCTCATTAATTTCTTTTTTTGTTTCTATAACATGTATAAGTTTTAAGATTGTTTTGATGTATTTTTTCCATGTAATTCCTGGGAAATGATTTTTCAGGCACTCTACAAGATAGGGGACCTTCTGGAAAGTACCACTTCTTTATGCTTCTCAAAGGACATGATCTCATGGAATCCTTCAAAGTCATCCAGAGATGGTGAAGAACCATGGCGTGCATTATATGGTTAAATCGGAGGTTCACAGTATCGCCCATCAACTGTTTCATCAAAGTGAGGACTCTCTGGTCATGTTTTATATTTTTGGATATTGTAGGAAGTGCAGCTCTTTTTGATTATTTAACTGAGGTCAAACTGTCAAACTGATGAGCGATGATACACTATTAAACCATTGTCTCACTGACATTTTATATTGTTAGTTCTTTACTTTGTTTAAAGGCACGTTTGGTTTATTAAGGACCTAGAAAAACTTTCCAGAGAAGCTGTGTACAAATTTGGCTGCTCGGCTTGATTGGGTTTTTGAATAAGGGAACAAAGAGAATGTGAACAATTGTAAGGAATATTATTTGATTATATCTCCTAAAAATTACTTCCCTGTCCAAAATTTGGGAAAAAAATTATAATCAAATACATTGTTTTCATAACTGATTATATTAAAATAATTACTTACATTTCTTTTTTACAACATTGTAATAACTCATATTTTTCCTGATTTTTGGGATTAATATAATTAAATGTGTAAAATCTAATTAATGGCTGGAGTTAATCCCAATTAAGGAGATTTATGATTTTCAAATTTTAATTTAATCAGGGATTTAATGTTGGGATTTAATTGAGGTTTTAAGTAAAAAAATGATTGCCTTTAATTGTTACCCTTTTTATTATTTTTATCAACTCTTGAGTTTTATAATAATTTTTAATTAAAAAATTTTAATCAAATAATTAAAGTTGAGTTGAAAGTTATGTTCAATATTTAGTAAGAGTTATTTTTTTTTAAATGTATATAATTACATTTTGAAAAAGGAATATTAAGAGAATTCAAAAAATACTTAATATTAATTTTTATCTCATAATTTAAATATATATGTTCTTTTTTTACAATTATTCTATTTGAAGATTTAGATAATATTCTCTCCTCTAAATTAAAAACCTAGAATACATTTAAATAGGATCAAATATCTATGTTGCATGTGCATTACATGAAATCATTTTAATATTCCTTTTTCAAAATTATATTAAAAAAATGATATACCTTTTTAAAATATAGCTTAAATTAAGTAATTTAAACCTATATATTCTACAATCAAATTTTGAATTAAAAAAAAAAAACACTTTCAAACAAATCATTTAGATTTTATTGCTAAGAATTGAAAAAACTTTAGGATTTTGTTATCAAGAATTGAAAAGATCCTAAACTCATTTATAGTATTCTCTTTTTTTTTTTTTTTTGCTTAATATTCTTAAGTATTCACTTTTTCTTAAGTGTT